TCAATTATCATTTTGACATATCTTTTCTTTATTTAAAGGCTGAAAAGTGAGGTTTACGTTTTGAAACTTTTTCTAAGCTTTATTCGAACATTTACATTAGATATTTCAACATGCTATTAAACTGTTGTCAGTCAAGTTGTCATTTAAAATCCGAACATCATTGGTAATGTTATTGTTTTAGTGATTATGCAGACAAAAAGTCATTTTATTTGTTGTTTGTTGATTTTTAAATATAAAACTTGAAGTGATTTATGTGTCGGTACTTTTTTAACATCTCCAGCACATTTTTACGTTTTGAAACTTTTTCTAAGCTTTATTCGAACATTTACATTAGATATTTCAACATGCTATTAAACTGTTGTCAGTCAAGTTGTCATTTAAAATCCGAACATCATTGGTAATGTTATTGTTTTAGTGATTATGCAGACAAAAAGTCATTTTATTTGTTGTTTGTTGATTTTTAAATATAAAACTTGAAGTGATTTATGTGTCGGTACTTTTTTAACATCTCCAGCACATTTTAACAATACCGTGATAATACTGATAACTGTGATAATTTTGGTCACTATAATCGTGCTAAGAAATTTTCATACCGTTACATCCCTACACTGGATATGGAGGCAGAAAGGCAGTGACATAACCACAGACAAAGAGTCTCAGTGCTTTTCTTTGCTCATTGTCCTCTGGACGTACACGAATCGGGTGGCAAACAGTCCCTTGATGTCACCCTCCCTGTTTAGGCTATTGTATTTGTCTCTCGGGTAGACATCGGCCAGCCAAGCTGAGGTGACCCTCTGTGAGAACGCAGATGGAACGCTAGCTAGTGAATGTCCAAAGCCCGCCCCGTGTGTTGTTGTTTTCATACGCCCTCAACCTGGTGTCCATCGTGGAACTGGACACAGGCTTTGTGGAGCCAGCCAAAGCTGACTGAATTATTGAATTAAGTCCAGCTTTGGGACAGAGGGGTGGGACATACCCAGTGTCCCACTGTTGGGGTGTCAGTGACCCCACGGTTTTGGCACGGGAAGAGCTTTGTGTTGACTGGCATGATTGCGCTTGTACATTTATTTTTTTGGGTCAGTGGAAAACATGGCTCATGTTCTCAGGGTCATTTGAGGACTCTATTTGGAAAGTGCAATTGCCATGAGTTGTTTTTCAGGAACTTGAAATGGCATGTTTTCTTATTGTCTTTTTATCTAAATATTGGAGGAGACTGCTACAACCTGTCTCATTCATTTGAAGCAGAGTGGTGCACTTTATTACAACATGGCTGCATTTTTTTGGTTCATTTCATTACCATACTTGCATGGATACAAAGCAGCATATGCTTATATTCAAACCTTAGTTAATTTAGAAGGGAAGTGTATGTGTAAATTGTGTGCAGTGTAAATGCAGGCTTTAAAACGGGTTGAGTTGAGGCATGCTAATTTCATACTTGGGTCTCTGCCATTTCTGTCATTCCTGTAGTACTGGACTATTGAGTAGTGATTGCAAAAGACTTGGGTTTGGCTTTTCAACATTAGCAACACACTTCGAAGCATTTACACATGACTTAAAGATGCTTCAGTATTTCAATTCAAGAAATTATTATTTTTTAAATTATTTTTTTGTTGTATTTTATTTTAATGAATAAAATTAAATATAATTATTTTATTAAACAAAACACTCTTTTTTAAAAAAAAAAAATGTTTTTATGTAGCTCAAATGAATAGTCACTTTTATGGTGCTTTTTCGTCCTTTTCCAAGCTGTTTTGTTTTGCAGATATAAAATAATAAAACAAAAAATTAAATGAAATAAAGTACTTCTTTAAATACATTTTAAAAAGCCATTTTTTCATGTAACTGCAATGAAAGGGCCCTTTTATTATCTTTGAGGCTATGTTTGTTTTAATTTAATAATTTTTTTTATATAAAATAATAAAAATAAAAAATTAGTTTTATTTAAAGAAAAAGCCATGTTTTCCATATAACGGCATTGAATGGGTACTTTTATTTTGCCTTTGCATCTTTTTTGAAGCTATTGTATTGTATTTTGTTTTGTTTTAATATATTAAAAAAATCTATGAAAATACTCACGAGTCACTCTTTTCCATGTGACTGCAATGAATGGGCACTTTTATAGTGCTCTTGCATACTTTCTAAAGCTTTTTTTTCTTCTTCATTTTTTAGTATTATTATTATAACTGCAATAAATGTTATGGTGCTTTTGCATCCCATTTGAAGCTTGAAAGCTCTGGTCCCCATTCATTTTCATTTGAACCAAGCAGCACAAAACGGTGTGAAGGTATGAAGTCATGTGTCCATTCATTCAGATTAATCCTGCAGTGTTTTTAGTTTCTATTATTGATTGCTTTGCATTGCATGTAACAAACTGAACAAGCCTGGGCCTGACAGCAAAAATAGAAATGGCAGAATTGCTTTGTAATATCATTAGGAAGCCCCCTCCATCAAATGAGTCGGGGAAAGCTCAGAGTGATGGATTCGGCTGCAGTCCCAACATTACCTCAGCTGTCAATCTCTCCGAGCTGCAAGGGTTTCACTTCAACTGCTCCGTCAACTGGAAAGACCAACAAATAAACAGGGGGTGGAGAGGAAAACTGTTTGTTTTTCCTTCTGTTTTCAAATGCCGAAAAATCAATCTAGCGGTGGCGTTTCTTGGATGGATATTGACTGTAACATATACACCTATTTATTTGGATTCCTTGGTTATTTGGAACAGGCTGTAAGGCAGTCAGGTGAAGGTGTCATAGTGTTTACAGCATGCTTGGATGGATGTTGTTTATTTTTACAGTTTGTACGTGCTTTGCGGTGAATGAGCTAATAAAAACTACTATTTCACCTGAAGTACGTAAATATCTGCACGGATCGTGAAGGTTTGCCAACTGTGCAACTGAGCCAGACTTGTTTAAACATTAATCCAGATCTGGAATGGCACCATTGTGAGGCACCACAGATATTTCGGTTAGCCATGAGGCCCAGTGCATTCTGGACTACATACTATATGACTGTATACACAGACCATTTGCTGATTCCTGAGTGTAATGCAGTTTTGTATTCCCCTGAAGGAAGCAAATTATTGTTGTCCAATTATTGCACACTCTGAATCATTTAGAAAGGATATTGGTTAAATCGGGTTACTGTCAATGAAGAGTGATTGTCTTTCTGTTTTTCTCTCTCTCTAGAAAGAGATTCAGGCGATGAGTCAGTGTCACCATCCCAACATTGTGTCGTATTACACCTCGTTCGTGGTGAAGGATGAGCTGTGGTTGGTCATGAAGCTGCTCAGTGGTGGTAAGTCCCTCCCACCTGTTCTTTTTCATCCAATCCGAACACTTCATTTTCATCTCTGTCATTGGCTTTGTCCAAATGCTGAAAAATGCCGCTCAGTGGTAGGGACACATTAAGACATTCAAAATGTATGTATTATCCTGTCTTCTGAGAGGACTTCATTTGGCGTTCAAAAACGCTGCTTCATTCAAAGAGAGACAAAATGAAAAACGCTGTTGAAATAATTTTTACTTTGAGCGCAACATTAGAAGGCTAACTGATTTTTAGCCTTATAATCCTCTGAACGTGCACACTAGATGATTCGACCAGACCGCGAGACCACACACTTGTCGATTGTAGGAACGATTTCACAGTGACACGCGATCTCACGGAGACTCGCGAGAACATACGTGACTAGAGCAGAAAAACAAATGGAAGACAATCGATGTCGTCAGCTGGCTCTCCCGGCACACGTTCTGTTTCACAGTGAAAAACAAAGTATAAAAAGAATATGGGTGATGTATTCTGCTTTCGTGGCATTTTTGTGGCTGCCAAGTTTCAGCTATAGAAGAATGCAACATCGGAGCAGTTAAATAATCGTAATGACACCACACAATAGAGGATTTTTTGGACAAAAAAAATTGCTTTCGACAAGCCCTGATCGTTCGGGGGCCAAACCGGGCTTAAAATCGGCCGTGTCTGCAACGATGGCCTTGTGGGCAGCGCACTGACATGTAGTGCTTTGGGCGTCCCGAGTTCCAGGCTCGCGGACCTTTCCCGATCCCATCCCCCCCTCTCTCTCACCTAATTCGCTTCCTGTCGACCTACTGTCTAAATAAAGGCATAAAACGCCAAAAATACAACTTAAAAAAAAAAAAAAACTAAAAAATGCCTTGATCCTCTAGTGTTGTGGCAATCTTACGTTTGGGGTCAGTGAGATTTTTTTAATAAGTATTTTACGCTGACCAAGACTGCATTTATTTCAACAAAATGACAGTAAAAGCAGTGATATCTTGAAATGTAAATGTACTATTTTAAATAACAGTTTTCGGTTTAGATATCTTCTAAAATATCTTCTTGTTCCTGTGATGGCAAAGCTTAATTTTCACTCACATGTTCTTTCAGAAATCATTAGAATATGCCTATTTAGTGCTCAGATAACTTTTCAGATGTTAATAATTTCTTATTATTATCAATGTTGTGCTGAATATTTTTAGGATTCTTTGATGAATAGAAAGTTCAAAAGTAAGAAGTTAAAATAGAAATCTTTTTTTAATATTATCAATGTCTTTACTGTTCACTGCATCCTTGCTGAATAAAAGTCATTTCTTTAAAAAAAAAAAACCTTGCGCACCAAAAACTTTTGAATGGTATGGGAACAATACATCATAACTTGGAGTGAATTAAAAAAATCATAAAGTTGTAGTTTTGCTTTATTTGAATAAAATGAAGTCATTTTCTGAGATTGGCTGTTTTAGTACTTTATAATTTTATTTACTTTGACTATTTATTTGTTTGTAACATGGGAAGTAAAATCTGTTGTAGACATGCATGTGTTCAAATGTAAGATATATTTACATGGTTGTTGCTGAATTCACAGCAGTCTTCTTTTTTTGCAGGACTTCTATTTTTGTGATGTCATTTATTTTAGAAAATGTTAAATATATATTTCTCCTAATTTTTCCCCATAGAAATTAATTTGCAATTAACTATGGTGACCAAGTTTGTTTCACCCACGATGAGCATTCTTTGCTGGCTGTATCCATATACAGTGTGGAACAGTCCTTCATCTATCAAACACGGTTTGACTCTTTGAAATAAGGTTTGCCTAAATATATGGATGGTTTTTGTTGGTAATAGAAATACATTTTGTATTTCAGTTTTGAGTACCAGCCTCTGATTAGGATCTCAAATGCCCCGTTAGAATGATAATGGAGTCTGCCAGGGGCTCCCCTACGGAGTTAATCACAGACTGCTGTTAATTACAGCAGATGCATTAGTTCTGCGGCAGCCTATGCAGGATTTCTTAGGACAGTATTGCATTATGATTGACTGCTTCCAGGATAGATATCTTCTGATGAGCATGTAGTGCTGCATGATTAATCAAAATTAAACCGAGATATGGCTATGTGGCTTTATGCAATTATCAGTCATAATGAAATGAGTATATGCACTTAGTTATTTTAATGCTAAAAGTAAGTTCAATAAGGAAAACAGCCATAAATATTAATTTTAAAATTTAAAGGGGTCATATGATATTATGATAATATTATTTGGTGTATTTGGTGTAATAAAATGTGTTTATGCGGTTTAAAGTTCAAAAAACATTATTTTCCACATACTGTACATTATTGTTTCTCCTCTATGCTCCGCCTTTCTGAAACGCGTAGATTTTTACAAAGCTCTTCTGCCAGCTGAAGATACCCAGGTGGCACGCTGCCCGTCTTAAATATGAAGGTAGGACACAAGCATGCAGGCGTCCGTCTCACATCTGGACTCTCGGCACACAGGGCACATCACAGCGGGCAACATCTTAAATAACAATGGCTCTCTCATCAAGAGGCGCAGGCGGCTCGTTTAAATGTAATAGATTCACAACTGATTATAGAGATTTTTCAGGGGCAGCTGCTATGTTTTTATTGTGTAAAAAAGGGATAGTTCAGCTAAAAGTGAAAATTGTCATCACTTACTCAAACATCTATGGCTTTATTCAGGATTTCTTAATTTGCCATTCCACAAATAAGGCCTAAAAAGTTCCTAAATCAGAGAAGAAAGTTATAAGTTCATAAAGTCATGGCATTAAATGTTGCATACAAAATGAAAATCTTCCTCATAAAAAAAATGAATATGTTCCTCAGTATGTTTTGTTTCGATTAATTGCACAGCCAGAAATCGAAAACGATTTCGATTTCGGCCTCCAACGATTATGAAAATAATCAAGATCAAACCATTATTGCGCCCCATTCCGACCCCTTTCCAGTGGTGCGCTTTCGTTCCTCCATAAAAGCCAAATTTCATGGGCAAATCAATAAAATCATGCATCGTGACTTGCAAAATGGGATGTGCTTGGTTTATTGAAGTGTATTAGATTTATTCATGTTTTTAAAAGTGCTTAAGAAAACTTGTGCTTCCTCAGGAGGGATATATGTGCCTGCGCTCAGAGACGGAACACAACACGGACATGTAAAGTCATCTTTAGGTCAAGCTGCGCACCTAAATGGTCAAATACTAGGGGTGTCGAAATTAATCATTTCTTCGATGTATCGCGATGCAGACGAGGACGATTCGGTATCAGTTCAGTAATAGACCATAACAGATTATAATGTGCTGACACTTTTCTGACCTCATTTGTCGCATACGTGCTTTGTCGTGGTAGCATACATTAGGCGCGTTCGGCTTGATCACAGAATGATCAGTGAATGACATCAAGTATCGTGAGAGCGATAAGAGAGCAAACGGATCCTTATGCTTTCACGGTTGATGTCATACACTCATCCTGCGCAGTGCTGCTTCAAATCGAACGCGTCTAATGGTGGAGGGAGGCGAGACGTGAGTGCGAGTAATTAAAAATGCTCCAACTACTTTAAAAGCCGACATCTGGCCACATTTCGGCTTTTATGAACAACCTGAGCACCTGGAGAAGACACGCTGTGTGTAAATCATGTCACGTACAATGAAATATGTAGGGGGTAGGGATGGGCAAACGAAGCCTCCTGAAGCACTGAGGCTTTCCTCTGACTGTTTCGGGAAAAGATTCAAAGCTTCGAGTGTCTCGAAAACAGGGCCATCTGGTGGTTAATAAAAAATATAGCAGCCAAAAGCCTGTGAAAGATGCTTCGTAGGACGAGGCATCTACCACATATTCCACAAATCGATTCAAGTTACGTGCACAAATAAAAGCCTAACAGTGTTTGTGTTTGTTGAATTTCTGTCTCTGATAAATTCATTTACCCATTAAACTGCAATTTAATACCAGTACGAAGATAAATATGATGTAATAGAAGAATAATGTACACATATGAATTGCATATGACAAATATTGAATTTTTCTGAAATAATTTGTATTCTTCATATTACTTGTATGACTCGGTATCTAAAATGTAACTGAATAAGTCCGAATTAAAACATATTCGTAAAGTAAGATCTGGGGGATCAAACATTTCGACACGCAAAGGGAATCGCGCACATGACTGGACAGAAAGTGATGCTTCGTTTGTCATTGGTCACGTGATTTCTATGACAATTAACAACACAACACAAGCTTCGAATCGAGGGTTCATCTATCACGCCCGTTTATTCTTGACACAAGCTCCGATGCCTCGGTTCAAATGTCACATCACTAGCAGCGGGTAATACCACTAACTTAAGAAACCAGGTACAGGTCATATATCTGACTGCTTGTATTTATTGACAAAATTTTATAAATGTGAAGTAAAATTGAAAATTGAGGATGCAGTGCATCGTCAATGCATTGTGATGCATCGTGATATCTAATTGAACCGAATCGATGACATGATAATCGTAACTGAAACGAACCGTGAGACCAGTGTAGGTTCACACCCCTATCAAATACACGCAAAAAATGTCAAAATGCGGCGCTTAGTGATTATTCACGTAAACCTTCATCAGTCATGTAATAAATGAACATAAACAGTTGAGAATGAAAATACATGTGTAACGGTAAATTGGATCCGTGCTGCTCTTAAAGTGACAGCGGGCTATATTCCTGCTGCGACTGTGTGCTTAATATTAATCAAACAACAAAAGACCAATTCAAAACCACACACTGCTCTTAAGTGAAGGATTTTTGTAGCTTTAATAAGAAACAAAGAAAGTTTCATTCTTACTCGGACTATGCTGGTAGGTTACTAATATCAGTTACCCTAATACTCTGCTGTGGTATTGAGAATTGTGAAATTTCTCTGGTCTCTAAAATGTAGATGTCATAGCAACCTTGTTTACAGAAAATATATATTTAATATATAGCACTATCTTTAAATAAATCACTCGTATAAAGTTTTGGT